AAGTGAAAATTTTACACATTAATTCATATCTGAGAGGTGGCTAGGGTGGAAAGGGAAGAGAGAGAAATTGAAATCTGGTACAGCAGTGCATTGGGTAGATTATCCAATTTAAAACACAGCTAGTGCATTATTTTTATTTTCCAACAAAAGAATGGTTTAGAAATGTAATATTGTTCTTCCTGAAGAACACTCCCATCCTTATCAGAGCTTGCCTTTTTCCCCCTCCATTTATATACTCCAGCAAAGCCAGGGATTTCTTACAGAGTTCAGGAGCTTTTTCAGCCCTTAAATTCATAGAATGTTATACCTGAGGGCTTTTAAAAAAATATTTGTTTATGAAAGCAGCCTGGCAAGTCGCTTTTCATCTGGAGCAGGCTTAGTGCTACCATGTCATCCTATTAGCTCAGTAGTGTCCCATAAATTCCCAGGGTAGACAAGACCCAAACCTTTTTTTTTTCTTAAAAAAAAAAAAAAAAAAAAATCAGGAAAATTGCACATCCTTTTTAGAGAGATGCATTTATGTCACAAAACCCTGAACAGGACATACCTCCCCACCCTGCCCCTAATCATGTTTTAAAGAAACAGGTGAACATGTATTCATGCAAGTAGGTGACTTATATGTATTAAAGCAGTGAAAATAGAAAAAGATCCTTCTTCATCCTAACATACATTCTTATTTTCTTACTGGTAAGTAGTGAGGGCACATGAGATGCAGTATGTTATGTAACAGATTGTGGCCACTCGTACTCTACAGAAACAGTCCACTTGAAACTTTGTCATGGCTAGAACTTTCTCCGAAAGCACAGATCTTTACTACTAAAAGAAATATCTATCAACTTTTAGTATAGCACCTGTCAAACAGTTGGGAAGCTTTATCCTGCAGAGGTCCGTCCTTGGGTAGAAACCAGTGGTGCATAGAAACTCCAACACTACACCTCTGACAGTAGGTTAGGCCAGGGAACTTGCTCAAGGCTGACTTGTAAAATGGCATTGCATACTGATTATTGTTTCTTTTCCTAGGATAAACCAGAAACCTGGGAAAAGCAGTGGAAGTGTTTGAAAACGCTTCTCTTCAACCACTTCTTCATTCAGCTGCCTCTCATATGTGGCACTTACTATTTCACAGAATATTTTAACATTCCTTATACTTGGGAAAAGATGCCAAGATGGTGGGTAGCTAGTTTTGTTTTTGTGTACTGCTATTTTAACAGTTCTAAAAGAATAGCTGATGATACCTTAAAATGCTATGATCTCATAAGGAACTTTTTGGTGCATACTGTCACTTTACCCTGGATTATGAATCACTAATGTATCTAATCATGCTCTTCTTAAATTTTAGCCATTGACTGCAGTGGGAGCAAGGTCCCTGTGTTTGGTAGCATTCCAAAAGCCTACAGTATTGTCTGAATCCTTGGAGGGAGCAGAGGCTTTGAATTAATTAAGGCCAAAAAGAGAGGCCCAGTGTCTAGGAATAAATATTAACTTCTTTGGGTCCTTGAGATAATGACTTTTAAGTTCAGTGGTTTTGGCTCCTTTCTACAAGTTATACAAAGGAAAACATTAACAGCTTGTTGCAGCAGCATTGTGTTTCTTAGAGAATGTCACCTGCCTGCTCCTTAGTCTTTGACTCAACATAGTTTTAAGGAAAACCCCAGATGTTTTGAAAGTACCTTTTCATTACTTCACTTCAGGAGAAACGTAACAGTAATATTTTTACAGTAGTGGATGCGGCCTGACTTGCACAGTGTTAGGTGATTCTCTTTCTAATACCTCTCTGATGCTGCTTTCTCTTTTTAAAAAGCACTTACATGTTACAGTTAATGAAAAATTAAATATATTCTGTGTGTGTGTGTGTGTGTGTGTGTGTGTGTGTGTGTGAGAGAGAGAGAGAGAGAGTAAGAGAGAGAATATTTTAAGAGTAAAACTAAAGCTTGAAGCTGTATATTAGCTCACTTCCGTTTCTTTTATTGATGGACTGATTATAAATGACACTGATTATATGTGCTGTTACCTAGTTACTAAAGAAAAACGTGTATCCCACATTTCTGGAACCTTTCTCTTAATGCAAGTGCTTACTGGTGAATGCAAGAATGGCTTAAAGGCTGTAGGGTTTGGCCTGCTGAAAAAATGTGCTGTTTTTCAGATGTAGCTTCATTGAACTGTAGCTAATTTGTAGTTTTACTTTCAAAGGTATGTTCTGCTTGCTCAGTGCCTTGGATGTGCGGTGATTGAGGATGCCTGGCACTATTTCCTGCATAGACTCTTGCATCACAAGAGAATATACAAGTACATCCATAAAGTGCATCATGAGTTTGTAGTATGTACTACTTGAATGTTTTCTAATATGTTTAATATAACAGTATCGGTACAACATAAATATAACGCATTTCACTTCAAAATGTTTCATTCTTTCAACATGGGGTTGGTGGGGAGGTTAGTCCAGTTTGTTGTCTTGGGCCATAGGCAAACAAACAGTCTCCCCAGATATTACATTTGTCTCATTCAGTCCCTTTTAAAAATGAAGGGACTGACTGGCCATTTTCAGTTCATTACGCACACCTGACACTTGATGATATATTATTATTACAATATAACTGGTGTATTCAGAATAACTCTATTTTTCTGTATGAGATTACTCTCCAGCCCCACCGTTTTACTGGTGGGGGAATTAAATCCCATAGCTATCTAACTCAAGCAACGTAACTCCTAGAACTGGTTTGCTGTCTTGCCAGCAAACCTATCCATAATTCTGTATGGGTATAAATAACATTGTGGATGCCTCTTATTTTGGACTATAATAGAAAATGGCACTTTCAATTGAGTGCATAATTGACTTTTCTTTTTTTCTTTCCCTAGTCTCCATTTGGGATGCAAGCAGAGTATGCACATCCCCTGGAAACACTGATCCTTGGAGCTGGCTTTTTCATTGGAATTTTAGTTTTCTGTAACCATGTGGTTTTTCTGTGGGCATGGGTAATATGTCGCTTGATGGAAACCATTGATGTACACAGGTGAAGAACATGCTACTACATAGTGATGTCTATTCCTATGCTTTTATTATTTGCTTTTTCAGCCATATGTGTGCTAGTGTAGGAGGGCTTCTCCCAGTCTACAAAAACAAGCTAACATAGTTCAGGCCAGCTTGAGAAGAATTGTAGGCTTTTTTTCTTTCCAGTATTTTAGATTGCCTTTTTTTACCCAAAATGACTAGTCTTCTTTTGTAGAGTTAATAGTAAAAGACACTGTTTTGAGAGAACCAAGAACTCCTCAAAGTTTAGGCTAAAAACTAAATTTGTCAGATTTGGCAGAATTGTACCTCAGCTCAGTCTCCATTTTTAAGGAAAGACTTGAATTTTTGGCATGTCACTTGGACATCCACACTTTCTGAATATATTACCTAATACCTGCTAGCATATGGGAGACTGGTGATTTTTTTTTTTTTTCTTTTTTAACAAAACATGAATGTTTAATTTTTTTTTTTTTTTATGTTTCAAGTGACAATAACTTCAAGATGGCCAACATTGCTCCACAGGGAGCTTGCTCCAAGGAATACTACTTGTAGAGTGTTTTCATCATAGGTATCTTAATTTGCTTCTATAGCAAAAATGCTGAAGTTCTTTCAGATCGGGCCTCTAAAATATTACTATGCAATTCAGCCACTTCACCCAGGCTGTCCAACAGAAATAAGGGTGTAGGGCCTTTTTTGATGCATGTTTATAGGGGAGAGCTGTAAATCTTGATGTGGGGTTGCTGAGTGAATAGTGTAATCTGATACCAAGCATAGTGACATTGGACTTAGAAACACTTCAGTGATATTAGGAGGAAAAAACCCATGCATTTAGAATCTCTCCATTCTAAAATAGTACCCATTCTTCAAGTGCTGAAATAACTCTGGGCATCCGTACATGTGCTCCAGGGTAGGGGAGGGAGGGTGCTTTAATTAGAGCAGCTCTTGTTCGGCGAGCTTTAGTTACAGCACCCCCGCCACCATTCTGAAACGCAGGGATGCTGAATGCATATGATGTGGAGGCTTCTGGAGCATGCTAATTAGCATTCTCCAGCTGACTCGATTAATTAAGTCTGTGGAGCAGAGCTCTGTCACGTGTATAGGTGCCTCTGATATTAATTTTGTTGCATTCTAATAGCATCATTGTGAGCCTTTATTATATGCAACTTACTTTAAACATAGCCAGAACTATACTCTACAAAAAGAATGCTTCATGTGAACAGCTTGACAGTCCACTGAAAGCTGTTTGTATCAGGGCAAAAATCTAGGTATCACATCTCCACTAGGTGGTGCACAGTGCATTTGGATATCAGTTCCATGAAGGAAGGACAGTCCATCTTAAGAGGCATTTTCCTATTATTTTTTCTTTTTGTAGTAACTACTTCCGTTATAGAATACTTTAAAACCCTTGGTTACCTTACAGCCTGATACTATGTACTAGATCAGATGTGTACTGGATCAGATGCTGTGTGTGATTCCACCCAGTTGTATTGGTGATTTGTATTTTGGTGTCAGATTGTCAGTCTGACTTTCTGAAAAAGCAACACTTTTAATAATAAATAATGGTATCTAAGATACAGAACTTCATAGTTTCATAGTTGGTAGGGTCGAAAGGGCCCTGAGCAGATCATTAAGACCGCCCCCTGCCATGGCAGGAAAAAGTACTGGGGGCAAACGACCCCAGCAAGGTGTTCATCTAACCTCCTCTTAAAGACCCTCAGGGTAGGAGCCAGCACCACTGTGCTTGGAAGTGGGTCCCAGATCCTAGCCGCCCTGACTGTGAAGTAGCGCCTCCTGATGTGTAGTCTGAATCTACCCTCTGCCAGCTTGTGACCTTTATTTCTAGTCACTGCTGGTAGTGCTCAGGGGAACAGGGACTCCCCCAACGCCTGCTGGTCCCCTCTGACTAGTTTGTAACAGGCCGCTAGATCCCCCCCTAAATCCCACCTTCAAATGCTCCTACACACATTTTTATTCATAATCTCTTTTGAGGTCCTTTTGTTCTAACGTCGTATTGCCCAGTGTTCAAGTAACTCTCAGTATTTTTAATTGAAGTTAATAGTATCTTAATTTAGTGGTCTTCTAAAAATGTAGTAGTAATAGTAGAAAACTGGTGTTATAAATTGTATTTGAAACAAAATGTCAAAAGTATATATTAACGTTATGATTTTTTTTTTCTTTCTCTAGTGGCTATGATCTACCTCTGAACCCTCTGCATCTAATACCCTTTTATGCTGGAGCTCGTTTTCATGATTTTCATCACATGAATTTTATTGGTAATTATGCTTCAACCTTCACATGGTGGGACAGAATCTTTGGTACAGACTCTCAGTATATTGCCTTCAAGGAAAAAGGGAAGCAGCAGTCAGACAAGAAGGTTGACTAAATCACTCACTCATACTACCACAAATACAAACTGCTGCCATCTCTTCTGGGCTAAAACTGGTAATTTAACACTTGATCACAGAATAACGCAATATTTTGCTTTTCAAAAAGAAAAGCAAAATTTAAACATGTATCTTGTACCTTGGCTATTAAGTGGTAAGGAAAGCCTTTAACTATCTTATGGTATCTTCCTAACTGGAATGCATTTCTATTTTATATGTGAGTATTGCATATATATTTTAATTACATATTTAAAGATGAAGCAAAAAAAGGCAAACTACTTGAAAACTTGTCATTTTTTTGAAGGTTTTTACTACATTTCAAGAATGTCTATATAATGTTGCTCTATTTGGATTCATGTAGAACTCTATCTAATGCACTGAAATTGGACCTTTTACTTTTTTTAATTGCAATATCAAATACAGCAAACACTGAACTGGTTGGTACTAGCACTGTATTTATATCTTAAGCAAATGGATACACTTATTTAGAAACTAGAACAACTCTTGATTTTAAAAAGCTTGGTCAGGCCATTTTATAAACTGAAAATAATTCAACTGTTAATTCCCGAACAGTTAGGTATACCTGGACTTTTTGTAGGAACATTTCTGGTCTGACTTTGACAAGTAGAAAAGGATACAGATTTTTTTTTTTTTTTTTTTACTTCAAGAGTCTTTCTTGCTGCTCTTTGAGGTTGCTCTGTCAGTGTACCTAGCATTTATATTATATTCCCCTCTGTATTTGTAACTGCTGAATGAATTGTTGCTATATTTGCACTGTGGCTGACACAATAAATGTGATTTTGGTTTGATGTGTGTATTCTGCATCTTTTGTAATTATAATGTGAAACAAAGGACAAAGTATATATGAGGAAAAATGACCCCAGTTTGCTTAATATTAATAAAAAAGGATTATTCCTGAAATTTGCAGTACTTTCATGGCTGTGCTGTAAACATTACTGGGATGCTGGCATTCGAAGATATTATAAAGCAAAGAGGTTTTCCCACCTTGTAGAAAAACTAGGGAATATGGGTTTGGGTTGTAGCCGTGTTGGTCTAAGGACATAGGAAGACAAGGTTCCTTGGGTGAATTTGATATCTTTTATTAGACCAACCCAAATGGTTGGAGAATAGTTAAGCAGCAAGCTTTCGGGTTCAAAAGCCCTTCGTCAGGCTAAGGAAGCTTCAGCAGTTGGTGTGTGCTCTTCCTGGATGGAATATGGGAGAATTTATGGCCTTAAGACTGCATAGGGATACATAGGAGCAATTGCTAATGATTTTGGTTATACCATATATACATTTACCATCTTGCTGCACTCCCATTACAAATTAAGACATAACCCCAGTGAGAGCTAAAAGCTATATTCCCCAAAGGGACTTTGGTACTTAAAGTAGTAGTTAGGTTCCCAAATTTAAATGTAGTCCCTTAAAGCTCCTGCTCAGTTGCTACCTAATCCAGAAGGCTTAGGTTCTGCTCTGTATGTGTAGAACTACCCAAATTCTGAGACCTGCTGAATTCCTCAGCCCCCCAAAATCTGGTAGGATTCTCAAAGTAGGCATTTCTGGATCTACTCTAGCCTGCAAGATCTGAAAGAATTTAGGAGGTTGTAGTTTGTACAGTTAGAGTTACGAAGAAGATAGGATAGCATTCACATTCCTAGGCTCAATAGGTTAGTGATCAAAACACTTACCTGGCATGTAAGACCAGACTATAAATACCACCTTTTCTCTTTGCTTAGAAGGTGACACACAAATCTATGACTTGTCACTTCCATACAAGAGCTCCAACCATGGCACCATAGGGATTGTTAAATGCATCTTTCAGCTGCTACGGTGGTTTTTATCTTGTGTAAAACGAATGAATATTTAAGTACTTTGAATAACATGCTATATTTACAGGTTAGAACAATCTTAAGACTTGAGACATAGGTTTTAAGATCCTGCTCCAAATATGAAATAAAGGGAATTGAGCATCTCTCACATCCAAGTAAGTGATATACCTGCCACTTTTTGCCTGAAACTACCAACCTAATTTAGGTCACTAACTGCAGAAGAGAATTCACAGTTGAGAATCCTAAGAAAGACAGACCCCTTCCTAGCTTGGAAGCCACCTAGCTTGCTGGCTTCTATGAATCTTTCCTAAATGTCTAGACTTCTATAATGTGTGAGGGGAAACTCATGCACCTACAGTGTAGAGGGCATTAAGTTCCCCTAGGTGCAAAAGCTCCTAAGAGTTGTATGTTGGGTTGTGATATCAAAATCATAACACTTTGTTTCAACCCTAAATTATACTGATTTTTAAGCATTTCTATACTATGCGGACCTACCAAAAACTCCTCTAAATAATGAATGTCTATGTGTGCTGCCTCCCTGTGAATGTACAGTAAGTACCCTAACTCAAGAGAGGTTGTGGTCTTGGTAGTAGCCATAGCCATAGCAGATGACCACTCTGTTCATCTGTGCTCTGTACTGAGGACATGCAAGGTGGTGTGTTTAAACTATGGCTTTGTACAGACATTCAGTTCCTCCTGGGAGAGTTGCTGCTCCCCCAGGAAAAAGCATGTGTACACGGATGTTCAGGCTTTTTCTTCCAGAGTAAAAATGGCTGCTGCAGGAGAAAAATGTGTGTGGTTGTTCCCGGGTTAAATCATTCCCAGGGGAATTTCTGGGAAAGCAAATATCTGAAGTGCTGTGGCTTCTCTCAGAAGGCAGCATAGTCCTTCACCCTCCCTCCCCCTCCAGGGCTTCCACTGCTGCAAACAGTGTCACTTGCTGAACTCTGCTTCTCCATCAAGGAGCAGAACATGCCCCTTCACAACCCCACATTGTGCTGCAAGAAAACACGTGCAGACTATGGGCAGTCTGGGTTAGCCAGTCAGTGTTGCCCTACTAGGCCCTGCGGCCTCTGTTGCCAGACCAACCCGCAAAGCCTGCTGAGAAGTGTGCACCTGCCTCAGCATTTGAATGTCTACATGCATCTCTAGGTAAGTTTCTCTACCAGGAGAACACACCTGGGAGACGCTTCTCCCAGGTTATTTGAGTGTGTGTGTGTGTGTGTGGCCTAGGTGTACTATCCTTTGCTGATGTCATCAAGGGCCTCTGATAGTCTCTGCCATAGATTGAACAACTTGCCCAGGGCAGGAAGGGTGATTCATCCAAATCTGTACTCCCTGCATTTTTATTTTATGAAACTATCAACATGGGATTGCCTTCGGTAGTCAAAGTTCATTCTGCCAGAGCCCAGACAACTTCTATTTTCTCCCTGCATAATTTCTCCATAGTTGATACCTTCAGAGTGGCCACTAACAGTTCAGTATAGGTTTAAACACTAAGTAACTGCAGAAGCCTCCTAAGGAGATATTAAATTTGATAAGGTGGTCCTTTAGTTGTTGTTTGCCAAAAACTTTGAGATTATGGGTATGTGCTTTGGAGTTGGCCAGTGAGAATGTGGAGTGTTGCTCAAAGGAGAAGGAGAACTTGAAGTTGTTTGTTTTTGCTTGTTGTTGTTGTTGTTGTTGTCTTTAAAAAAAACCAACAAAAAAACATGCTGTTCACATGCACATTACTACCCTAAGAGGGAAGGAAGGATGCAAAGGCCTTACTGATACTGCTAAGGCAAAAAATCATGGAGCTTGAGCTGAAATGCTTGGTGCACAAATACCTGTAGTGAGGATGTAGGATACTATATTTCTAAGAGTTCTTGTAGCTGCTTATTTTTATTCCATAACAAGCTGGGCAGGCAAAATATTTATTTCTAAATATTTCAGAGATGCTGCTAGAATCAGACAAAAAATAAGGCTAGGACAGATGTCAGTAGATTACCTCAGTCTAAACCTTTCCAGACAAGGGTTTGTGTAAGCTGCTGTTAAAACCTTCTAAGGGTGAAGATTATGCCAGCAGCATAATGATGTTATGTATTTATATGGCCCTATCTCAAAACAAATGCTGCCAACTCTTTTTCATTTTATAAACAGGAAGCAAATATTGTCAGTTGTATGACTGTGCACGAGGTGCCGAGTTAAGAAAAATGTTTAGAAGGCCTCTTTTTTTTTTTTTTTTAGAGCCTGCCTACTTCTCAAAACCCAGTTCTCTCAACCTGAGCTACATGGATGAAGGTAGTGTGACCTGAAGATTCTTCCTCCTGAAAGGTGGACACTGCCAGGGGTGCTGGACACTGACCAACTATGGGAAATCTAAGGGGCAGAGGGTTGTTAGGCCTCCTCAGACAGCCAGGGCCTTTTGTGTGTTATCTGTGTTAGGGGTAGATTTTGGGGTCGGGGATATGCATAGAGCTACAGCCTGCCCTGGTACCCTATAAATACACTGATGCTCCAGTAAAGTTCAAAAGTATATTATAAACTTGTGTTCACAACAAAAACAAGATTAACAATAGGAAATATACATAACATCAAGCATTAACTACATACACTGGTTAACTGCAATACACCATAAACAGAACTGCCCAGGAGCAGTGAAGGGCAGCATCAGGGCCTTCACAGGCTCACTGAGCTGGAGTGACAGTCAGGCCCTCAGTCTTTTCCCTCAGAGGGTACTCACTGAGACCGAGAGAGGGAAGGGTGATAATTAATGATCCAATGGATGATCGAGGTCCCGATCCAATAACGCTTTTACAGGTAACTATCCAATTATAATCCAATCTGATGAGTCACCCCTCTCTCACTGCTACAGTCATTGCTCATATGCTTCAGACACACGGGTAGCACCAACTAAGTAAGCTCACACACCATTCAAACCTCAGGTACTCAAGCCTCCATATTGCATTTGTGCGCCGAATCATGCCTCAGGATTTCTTAAATACTCACCAAAATCACACCGTGTGTCAGTCATTCTCACCAATTGTACGTGCACACGACAACCTACTATTGTGCTCTTGGCACTTAGGTGTAGCACACGGCTCTCTACTGCACCACACAAGCTACTGCACAGGCTCCCCAGATGTAAGTGGGTCACTGACATCATCAAGGTGGAAAGTCCAGCTATTCTAGAACCTGCCCACCTCTAATCAGTGTGCGCATGCTCAGGAGTGATCTCATGTTTGACTACACCCAACACTCCCTCCTACCAACTACTGTATTTACTCCAATCTAAGACAAGTTCTCCCCAGGAAACTTGCATCTGGGATTGATTTGGCAGGGGTGGGGTGGGATGTGCAGCATTGCAGGTTGGGGATTGGGAAGGAGCTGGGCAGAGGTACAAGTCAGGGATTGAGTTAGGGATGTGGCAGGGGATAAGGTGGCTGTGCAGGTTGGGAATCAGGCAAGGGATAGGGTGGCAGCATGGGTCAGGGATTCAGTGGCAGCACTGTCAAGGGATGGGGCAACAGCACGTGCACATGTGCTACTGCCCCATCCCTTGACCCATATTGTTGGATGGGCAGCAGTGTGTGCTGCTTCCCTATCCCCTGGTCCATACTACTGCTAAATCCCCTACTTGTGCTGATTCTACATCTGACCTGCACTGCTGCTGATCAGCACAGGTCAGGAAGTGGGGAAGCAGCATGGGTTGGGAAGGGGAAGCAGCATGCACTGCTGCCCTGACCCATGTTTCTGCCAACTGGAAGTGTAGGTCAGAGGATGCTGCATCAGCAGGTGGAAGGATGGGAGGATTGAGCTGGGGATGGGGCAGCAGTACAAATAGGAAATCGGGTAGCAGCAAGGGTTGGGGATGGGGTGGGGGAGGCAGGCATCAGGGGTGTAGGCAGGAGTGATGGGGGACAGACAGCAGAGGTGCAGGGGCAGGGGAGCAAGGTGCAGGGATCAAACTGCCTCCCCTCCCTGTGGTTTGGGAAAAA